GTATTTGTAGGTTTTGATGAATCGAAGTGTTATTTCCAGGATTCGCTACGAAAGAATGTAATGGGGACTGGTAGTCAAGAAGAAGGTTTGTATTATTTTGATCAATGTTTTAACAGTGAGTCTTTTTGTATTCCTCAAAGTTCTAACATTTATTGCTTAGCTTCTGTCCAACTATGGCACAGCCGTTTAGGTCACCCCGCAGACCAAGTCTTAAAACTGTTAAAAACAAACCTTAAAATTGAGAATGTTGATTGTGGTCCTTGTGACATTCGTCACAAGGCTAAACAAACTAGAGAAAATTTTGAATCTAGTGTGCATAAATCTAAAGACCTAGGAGACCTAGTTCACTTAGATGTTTGGGGTCCTTACCATGTTCAAAGTAGGGAGGGCTATAAGTATTTTCTTACTGTTGTTGACAATTATATCAAGGATGTTTGAGTTTAATTATTAAAAGCCAAACATGAAGTGGAAAAAAACATTGTTATTTTTTATAATTTGATCAGTACCTAATTTGAAAATTTTGTTAAAATATTTAGGAGTGATAATGGGTCTAAGTTTATGAGTAAAAAACTAAGCGAGTTTTTTAAAAACAAAGGAATTTTACATCAAACGCCATGTGCTTAGAATCCCCAGCAGAATGGGGTGGTAGAACGTAAACATTGTCATCTTCTAAATGTTGTTAGGGCTCTTATGTTTCAGGGAGGAGTCTCCCTAAATATGTGGAGTGAATGCACTCTTACAACCATTTACTTAATAAATATACCTCTTTTGTGTTAAATGGTAAGTGTCCTTATGAATTAGTGTATGGATTCCAACCTGTTCTTGTTCATCTTAGAAACTTTGGATGTCTTAGTTTTACTGTCATACCTAATGTCACAGATAAATTTTCTCCAAAGTCTGAAAAGTGTGTTCTGTTAGGATATGCTAGGTCAAAAAAGGGTTACAAACTGTTCAGTTTGGAATCTAAAAGGTGTATTATTTCTTGTGATGTTAAATTCTATGAAAACATCTTTCCTTTCAAGATGAGGGTTAACAAGGTTGGTGAATCCAATTACGATGATATTAACAGATTAATTTTTTTTTGAATTCATTCATTGTTCTTCTAATAAGTTTGTGGATGACATGCCCAATGATGAGAATGGAGACAAGTTTGTTGGCCCTAATAACTATAGATTACTAGGTAGCCCAACCAGAGCTGCCAACGAGGAGCCTCTAGGCAGCTCAAACGAATCAATTAATCTAGACTCTTCAACTCAAGTTGAAAATACTAATGAAAGAGTTACCAGATGGAAACTCCTGTGTGGCTCTGATGAGGCTGCCAGTAATCAGCCTCATGATGAAAATCATTTTAATAGTCTCAATTCTGAGAGTAACTCTAGTATACCATCTTCTAGTCAAACGATTAGAAAGTCTACTAGAGTTTCTATGTTTCCGCATAAATTTGATGATTTTATTATCGAATGAAAGGTTAAATATGGTCTAGAAAAGGTTGTTAATTACTCTTTTATATCTTCTGAAAATCTACGCTTTGTTTCTAACTTAAAGAAGTCTGTAGAACCTAAAAATTTTCAAGAAGCATGTAAAGATATAAATTGGATTAGTGCCATGAATTATGAAATGGAAGCTTTGCATAGAAATGGTACTTGGATTATAACAGACTTACCTAAAGGTAAAAAACCCATAGGCTGCAAGTGGATATTTAAAATAAAGTATATATCTAGTGGGGAAACTGAAAGATACAAAGCAAGACTTGTAGCTAAGGGGTATAGTCAAAGAGAAGGTTTGGATTATAAAGAAACCTTCTTTCCTGTTGTAAAAATGGTTACTATTAGATGTATTACATCCTTAGTTGTTCAGAATAAATTGAATTTGTATCAATTAAATATTAACAATTCTTTTCTGTATGGAGACTTAAAAAAAGAAGTCTACATGTCATTGTCTGAAGGATATTATAATTCAAAAGATAAACATGTATGCAAATTAGTTAAATCCTTATATCGTTTAAAACAAGCTCCAAGACAATGGTATGCTAAATTGTCTTCTTGCCTTGATGAAAATGGATTTATTCAAAGCATAAATGATTACTCTCTATTTACCAAGAAAGTAGACTTTGTTTTTATTATTCTTTTGGTATATGTTGATGATATTGTTCTTACCGGAAATTGTGAATTTGAAATTGAAAAGGTAAATGTTTTTTTGAAAAGTAAATTTCTTATAAAAGATTTAGGAAAACTAAAATTCTTTTTGGGTATAGAAATTCTAGATTGTTTTAACGGTATTTGTATGTCTCAAAGGAAATAATGTTTAGATTTGCTTAATGACTTTGGCTATTTAGGATGTAAACCGTGTAATACTCCTATGGATATGAATTTAATTGTTACTGATTCAAGTAATTGTAAAGATCCTCCTTTAACTGATCAAATTGGTTATCAAAGACTTATTGGAATATTAATATATTTACTTGCCACTGACCAGATATTGCATTTGTTGTTCATTGTTTAAGTGAGTTCATGCATTCACCTACGCAATCTCATTTAAAACTTGCTCTAAGATTTCTTAAGTACTTGAAGCTGTCACCAGGTAAAGGTGTTAGCTTTACTAGAGCAAATTTTTTTACCTTAATTGCTTTTGTTGATGTTGACTGTGGTAAGTGTTTATCTTCTAGACGATATGTAACAGGTTTTTGTTTATATCTCGGTAATTCCATGGTTTCATGGAAAAGTAAGAAACAAAGTAATGTTTCTCGCTCTTCTGCTGAATCCGAGTATAGAGCTATGGCTTCTGCAACTTGTGAAGTCTTGTGGGTTCTAAAAATTCTTTCTGATCTCAATGTTTCAGATTTGTTACCTATTTCTTTACATTATGATAATAAATCTGCTATACACACACATATTGAAATTGATGTTCATTAAATTTGTGAAACTATTAGTAAAGGTTTGATTAAAGTTTTAAAAATCCTTTCCAACGAAGAACCTGTTGATATTTTTACTAAGGCTCTTGAGATTAACCATCATAACTACTTATGTTTTAAGTTACGGATGATTGACTTATTCAAAAGTGAAGATTGAGGAGGGGTGTTAAGAGATATGACTTTCTAATTTCAATCTTTACTCTTGTTGTATTTTTGTCAGCTAATAAAATTAAAGGGCTGAAACTGTTATTAAGGAAAAGTGCTGGTTTATGTTGAGGGACCGCGCCTCACTTTATGGAGAATATCAAGGGTAGCGGAGTCTTATTCAACATACTTAGAGTACTAATCTTGCAAATATTAGCTTTATATATAAGCTGGGTCTTTTTTGGCTTTTAGCTCATAAGATACGACCATTTTCTTCATATCAGTTTTAGATTTCTCTCTCAAACACTTTGTCAATCTTCATACTTTTGTTAACCGTTTTGGTTAATAATTCTTAGATCTAGGGTTCATTGTTTACATTTTGTGTTATAATAATTGATAACATTGATTAAGAATTTAGTTCATGTTTTTGTTTAGTATTGTAGTTTTGAAATTATAGGAATGAAAAGTGTTATAACCATCAAACCACGTATGACGAAGACGAAATTTGTAATTTACTCTAAATTATATCCATTTATACAAAATGCATCAATAGATTACAAATTTATGGATATTTATACAAGAGGTGATGTGAACATATTAGACTTGTTAAAACATCGAGTTATAATAAAAACTTACATGTTAAATCATTTTTGAAGGAAATGCGTCATTGTATAGATCTATTTACGAGCTGAAATACAATGGATTTGTATGAAACTAATCCAATCATCTATTTGATATTGGATTTTGATTTCTAACGTTTTGTTTCGATTTTTCAAGTTAATTCATTTTTGGTCCATGTGGTTTGCCGATTTATGAGTTTCTATGGGTTTCTAACACAGAATACCCTTGTAGTATGCAATTTTGTGCAGATTTGCTCCCTCCTACTAACTTAGGCTAAAAAAATATGTATTTTCCTTTTGTGTTTGCATGTGACCACCAAAAGCAAGGAGTTAGACCACCGTCAGTGCAATCACGCACATAACATGCAACCATATGTACGAGATCGACCTCCATCTTCGGTGCTATTTTTCATCCCCCTTCTTGTGATTTTGCAATTTCTCTAGAAACCGCAATCTCCCTCCATGGGAAATTCCCCAATTTTGAAATCCCTAACTATTTATACTTCCCCATTCTCATTTTCGAAAAACTAATGGAGCAACAAATTATAATTCTATCACAATATTTTTTCATCCAAATCAGAAAGCAAAACCTTACTATTTTCATCTCAATTTGAAAATAATTGTGAAATTCTATAATATGTTAAGAGCAAAGAACTCCATGCGTTCGATGAGAATTACAGGCCTCCTCTTGTTTTCAGTGAGAAGTATCTCAAACCTAAACGGAACCACCTTCAACTGATAGCTACTGGTAAAAAACCTCAATACCGATGATTTTATTAGATTTGGAACCGTCTGATGATTCAACATGAATGTTGCATTTGTAGATCAAAATCAATTTTCTATATTGGTATGTGAATCAACTTTTGCCCTTAATTCCTTTATGTACCAAAGTTATAATTTGACCTCCTTTCATTCTTTATATTTTCTCATATTTTTTACTTTTTAAAGCTCACCCATGTAATTCCCACTCATTATCTTTGTTCCTTAAAGCTTGCCCCCCTTCCTCATATCTCTCTCTCTCTCTCTCTCTCTCTCTCTCTCTATCTTTGTTCCTCAAAAGCTTGCCCCCTTCCTCATCTCTCTCTCTCTCTCTTTGTTCCTTAGAGCTTGCCCCCCTTCCTCATCTCTCTATCTATCTCTCTATGTTCAGTAGCTGCCAAATGCAAAGGAAACCCAACTCCAGTTTAACATTTTAAAGAGAATTAAAGAAAGACACATACAAGTTTAGAGAGAGAAAGAATTGAAGATATAGAGAGAGAGAGAGAGAATATTGTTTTGTAGGTTTATGTGTGTGATTCAGTGTTTGCATTTGATCTCGTGCGGTCATGGATGGTGGTGATGATCGTTTCCACCACAGGCCTAACTTCCCCTTCCAATTACTTGAAAAAAAAGACGACCACGTTGTTTGCTCCTCCTCCGCCACCACCACCAACTATCCTTCACTCGCCATCTCCACCGACACCAACCACAATAACCTAAATTCTACACTTCGATCCAACTCCTCCACCCTCCTCACAACAGCAACAACCACCGCCACCGCCGCTACATCATCCACCGAGCTCTCAAAGAAACAACCACCCAAACGAACTTCAACCAAGGATCGACATACAAAGGTTGACGGTCGTGGCCGTCGTATCCGAATGCCAGCCCTTTGCGCCGCCCGAGTTTTCCAGCTAACTCGTGAGCTAGGACACAAGTCTGACGGAGAAACAATCGAGTGGCTACTTCAACAAGCCGAACCCGCTGTCATCGCCGCCACCGGCACCGGAACCATTCCGGCAAACTTTACTTCACTCAATATTTCACTCCGGAGCTCCGGTTCCAGTATGTCGGTTCCTTCTCAGTTCCGCTCCAGTTATTTCAACCCTAATTTTACTCTCCCACAAAGAAGGAACCTCTTTCCAGGTATTGGGTCGGATAATTCGTCTCTGAATTTCGGGTCGACGACAATTCTAAATCAGATGATACAAGCAAAGCAAGAAATACGAGATAATTCAGTGGAGTTATCAGAATCGCCGGAGGAGGGCATGGGGAGGAAGCGTAGACCTCCAACGGAGCAGGATTTGTCGTCGTTGCATCAGCAACAAATGGGAAATTATTTACTTCAATCAAGCTCAGGAGCCATGGCAGCTAGCCACGCTTCCATACCGGCTAATTTCTGGATGGTCGCTAATTCTAACCAACATCAAGCAATGAGTGGCGACCCTATTTGGACTTTTCCAAACGTCAATAACAGCTCCTTATATAGAGGTACCGTTTCTAGTGGGCTACATTTCATGAACTTCCCTACACCAGTCGCACTTTTGCCAAGTCAGCAAGCGGGAATTAGCGGTGGCAGCAGCGGCGGCGGCGGCGGTGGTGGTGGTGGTTATAGTGAAGGACAACTAAGCATGCTTGCAGCTGGTTTAAACCCATACCGGCCTATATTTGCATCTGAACAGCAACCGGGTGGTTCTCAATCCCACCACGACGGAGGGCACGGTGGAGAGGATCGGCATGACACCAGTAGCCACCACACGTAGTGGAGTCCCGCCACCGGTGATTATCCCCGTTAAATTTGATGCGTAAACACACGTGAGGTTTGATTTGTTCCTGAATTTTGGAAATTTTAAATTTTAATTGTATTTTTATTTTTATTTTTATTTTCATTTTCATTTTGTGTGACAAAAATATCAGGATTTTTGAAGAGATTTTTAACAGGGTGTATTGGCATGGCATGGTATGAAATTATTAACTATAAAATAAATAAATAAAGAAAGAAAAAAAGGTCCCATTTTCGTCTTTTTGGATGAATTTTTGTACTTTTGATCATTTACAAAAAATATATAAATAAATAAAAAATGTATGGTGAACGTGTAATTTAATAATTATCTTCTGCATGCTTGAATATATTTTAAAGCTTATATTATAAATAATTCCCAAATTAATTTTTTTTAAATAAATAAATTTAATGTTTTTTTAATTAAAAAAAGTCCATCTTTTAGCCTTATAATTTTCAACCATATTTAATTTGCTAGGTCAATTTTCTTGTTTTAAAGGGGTATTTGTGTCATCTTGTTTCTTTTTTATTTTATCGTAGGTAACTCTATAACATAGTTAAAATATTGTAATTTTTAAAGTTGAGAATCATTATGTATTTACATAGAGAATTCAAGTTGTTTATGGCTTCACGACTATCAATATTTTCTTATTTCTCCATTCAATCATCGTGATCTCAGTCGGTACAAATTTTCTTCCATACGTCTTTGTAAAATGGAGATTCAATTTCGATTCATAATCTTCAAATTCAATGTAACTTGCTTGTATTCTCATGATTCAACATCTAATACACAATATATATATATATATATATATATATATAGGGGCCTAATCAAATGAGAACTAATTAGTTTGTGGTAACTGTGAGAACCAATATTAATCACAAATCAATTAATCACAAATCAATAGATAAATTAGGAAATTTATAATTTTGGCAATTTTGAATTAAAATATTAATGCAAGGATATTTTTGGTATTTTAAAACTTTCCTCCCTCCTCTCTTCTCTCTCCGGCCACCGTCCTCCGGTGATACTACAATGGTATCACAATGTATCATATATGTGCTTGGGTATCACATTGATGTCGTTTGTGTGGTCGATCGATGATGTAACACAGTGGTATCACTATGCATCTTATATATGATTAGGTATCACAATGTATCTTTTGTTTAACAGAGTCAATATTTTTAGGTATCATAGTGGTATCATCGGAGGACGGTGGCCGGAGGCCGGAGAACGGTGGCCGGAGAGAGGAGAGGAGAGAGAAGAGTTTTAAAATACCAAAAATATCCTTGCATTAAGATTTTAATTTAAAATTACCAAATTTATAAATTTCCTAATTTATCTATTGATTTGTGGTTAATATTGGTTCTCACAGTTATCACAAACAACTCAGTTCTCCCCTGAATAGGCCCCTATATATATATATATATATATATATATATATATATGAGCTCATTCAAGGAAGAATTGATTAGTTTGTGGTAACCGTGAGATCTAATCTCAACCACAAATCAATAGTAAATTAGGAAATTTATAATTTTGATAATTTTAAATTAAAGTTTTAATACAAGGACATTTTAGGTATTTTCTCTCATTTTTCGTCTCCTCTCTATGCCCCCGTCCTCTGTCCTCTTCTGGTGATACCAATGTGATACCTAAAAATATTGACTATGTTAAACAAAAGACACAGTGTGATACCCAAGCACATATAAGATGTTTAATGTGTTACATCTTTGATCGACCACACAAACGACCTCAGTGTGATATCCAAGCACATATAAGATACAATGTGATACCACTGTGATATCACAATAGGACGGAGGACGAGAGACGGAGAGAGAAGAGAGGACAGAGGAGAGTCATAAAATGTCCTTCTATTAAAATTTTAATTCAAAATTATAAAATTTCCTAATTTATCTATTGATTTGTGGTTGGGATTGAATCTCACGATTACCACAAACTAGTCAGTTTTCCATTGAATGAGCCTCTCTCTCTCTCTCTCTATATATATATATATATATATATATATCTCTCTCTCTCTCTCTCTCTCTATATATATATATAGAGAGAGAGAGAGGTGAGTTATTATGTAACTTTTTACATTTGTATAACCAATACAATTCAATCTCAACCGTCCAATTCATTTGATGAATATATGATTTCATAAAAGTTTTTATTATTTTTTAAGTATAAAATATTAATCATAATTAATGAACTCTAGTCATCTTCCATAACTATTAACGTCATAATAAATGAAATCTCATCATTTCCATAAATATCCTATTTAATTGAGTTGTATTGGTTGTACAAATAGACATAGTTGTATTTGAAATATACCCTATATATATATATGTATATATACAGACTTGGGATCATTAGAGACCAAGGTTTTTTCGTGAGACCCGTAAAACAAATTCTCAACTATTGGATTAGATCTATAATTTGAACAATCATAATCATAAAATTGCCACGAGACTTCTCAATAATCATAAAATTGTTACCGTGCAACTTTAGACCGTTAGCTTATAAAGTTGATCAATAAACATAAATTGGTGTTACGGGTCTAACGAAAAATCATGGGTCTTACGTGAACCCAACCCTATATATATATATA